AAAGATGGTCAAATTGACCAAATTGGACCATGGTGTAGTTGGACAAAATGAAATTGGGAGTATTTTGGATTTATTGGGATTTATTAGGAATTTTTGGAATTTTTAGATTTTTAGGCCATGGAGGGGCATTTTGGTAATTTGGTCATTTTTGTCAGTTTTGGCAAATTTTTATGTATTCAAAGTGTTTGGAATGAGTTTTGATCAATTTTGGGTATTTTGGCAAAATTTGGGAATTTTGGCCAAATTTGGATCTCAATGGTAGTTAGGTAATTTGGAGGTGTCTTGGGGCAAAAGGTCAAGTTGGGCATTTCAAGTAAAATTGGATAAATATCCATTCTAAATGAGTCATAAATCAATGTATTGTGAAGATATAATGTACCCTAGTTCCAAGTCAACACCCAGGGTCAATCCTAAGGCCAAATAGCCCTATAGGAACTTTTCTTGAGCTTCCCCCATAATGATCTTACCTACTAAATACTAGAGGTTAAGGTCAATATGTGGAATTTCAAGTTGAGTAAAGAGAAGAGTTTTGAATTTCTAATGGTGAGGGTACCTTTTCTAGTTTTCTAAGACTAGTCAATAGGAAAGTCCTATGGCTAGACCTAGGCTACTAAAGAAGTTTCTAGACCTCAACTAAAAGTGAGGTCAACACCATCTCAGTTCAAGTTTAGGTTGGCGGATTGATTTCGAGTCAATTTTGTCTTAGCGGGTTAATTTCTAATTGGCGGGTCAACCCGACATGAAAAATTCAACAAGTTTGATTCATGCCCTAAACCTGACCAAAAATTATTCAAGTTAACTCGAAGCCAAATTTTTCGAGTTGAGTTCAAGTCGAGTCAGTTTTTATACCTCTATGTCCAAGTCATTAGGGGGTTGAAAAAAAAAGAATTATTCCAAACCTAATTTGTTCATTAATAACATGGGCTTAAATAGGGTATTACAGTGTTTTACAAATAAACCCCTAGACTTCTTTAATATTCCCTTTTTACCAATAGGACCCTAAATAAGGTACAATTCTCAACACTCCCCCTAAATGAGCAAAAGATATCCACTAAGTCCATCTTGTCACATAACCTACACAAATGTAATGAACTAAGTTCATTAGTGAGACAGTATGCCACTTGCTCTCCGGTGGCTACATGACTTAGCTCCAGTAGGCTATTATTCAGCTTTTCCTTGATGAAGAATTTATCAATCTCCACATGTTTAGCTCTATCATGTTGCACCCGGTTGTTGGCAATGTTAATTGTTGATTTGTTGTCACAACACTTCATTTGAGTTCCTTGGCCCACCTTGAGCTACCAACAATGCACTCACCCACATTATCTCAACAACTCACAAGGTCATGGCCTATGTTGTTGACCTCACTACTACAAACGATTTTTTAATCTTCCAAGAGACCAAGTTGCCCCCTATGAACATGCAAAATCTTGAGGTGGATCTTCTGTCATCTGCACAACTCGTCCAACCAGCGTCACAAAATCCCTCAATATCTACATGCTCATTCTTCCTAAAAACCTACCCCTTCCCAAGTGCACTATTCAGCTATATCAGAATCTAATACACTACATCCATATGACTCTTCCTTGGATTATACATGTAGCAGCTCACCACGCTCACTGTGAAAGAGACGTCCGGTCGAGTGTGGCACAGATAGATTAGATGGCCTATCAAACTTTGGTACCTCTCACGATCAACCAGATATCATGCTTCTATATTCAACTTGATTTTTGATCAATTTGAGAGGTTGCAGATTTGCATCCCAGCATGTATGTTTCCGTGAGAAGATCTATTACATATTTTCTCAGAGACAAGACTATCCCCTCAGGTCCACCGATCATTTCAATCTCAAGAAAGTATATGGGTTGTCCAAGATCCTTCAAGTTGAATGTCATCTACTAAGGATGCAATTAACAGAACCATTGAGTTGAGAAGTCAGATATAGATAAAGGTGTGTGTGGTCCTTCACTTATCTCTGTCAATACTGTCACTCTTTGATTCGTCCCCAATCAGATATTCCTATAGTCTCTTCCTTACTAGAGCAGCCTTGATCCGAAGTGACTCGGAAACATGGTCGAAGCCTCAAATCCACGAGAGGGACATCTAGCTCCTAAATAATATCAAGCGAGTGTGACTCAGGTAGTTAAAACAATAGTAAATTACCTTTCTAGTCGTTATAAGTCTCTATAGTTAATTACCTTTAAAGATCAAGAGAGAATAATCATAATTAAGAAGGTCGTTAGGCTCCAATTTATCAATTAGATATGATTTTAAATTTAATGGAGAGTGTGAATCCAAGTTTATGAGTCAAGTGTGACTCAGGTAGTTAAAACAATAGTAAATTACCTTTCTAGTTGTTATAAGTCTCTATAATTAATTACCTTTAAAGATCAAGAGAGAATAATCATAATTAAGAAGGTCGTTAGGCTCCAATTTATCAATTAGATATGACTTTAAATTTAATGGAGAGTGCCAATCCAAGTTTACCAGTCACATCTACCAACATTAGAAAACATCTAATCATAAAATTCAGTCTGATTAGCAATTATAAATTGACTCCTCTCAGCATAATGCTAGAATCTTCTAAAAATTATCCTCTTATGTTATTCACAAGCATTTTGACCAAAATTCTAATTGATTCAAATCTATCAAAGCTCGGGCATGAACATAATTTCAAAGAAAATTTCAAACTCAAGCCGGCTAGTTCAAAAAGTTATTCAATCTGGCTAGAAAAATCATATAATTCTATGATGTACATTGCTGAATTTCAAATAATTAGTACTATGGTTGAGGAATGTTTTTTATATGAAGAGGTCACCAAACAAAAATTATCCCTAACCCAACTCACTTCATTTTTCTTTAATCAAGAGTGCTCTCTAAAAAAAAAATAAAAAAAAAGAGATTTTATGCTTCTAAGATGTACCACGTCCTCCTTCAAATCAAAGGTGATGTAAAATGAAAATAAATCTCAACATATCTCCTAAGTCCTAAGAAAATATTTTACTTTTCTTCATTCAAACACTTAGGAACCTTTTATAATTCAAAAGTCGATATCTTTAAAACTACTCTTCTCATAGTTCACGTGATTATATTTATATGAATACTCTTTCCAATGAATTTAACAATACAAGATTGTTCTGTTTACATAAAATAAACTTAAAGTTATGTAACTAGCATAAAATTAAAAGTGTGATACTATAGTTCCCTTCCAATAAAGATTGAATAGTTTATACCACAATTCAAACTAGCACTAAATTGATCATTTCTGTCATTTGCTTTAGTTATGGAGTCAATTAACAAGTACCTATAGTGTTTTGTTAAATCAATTTGGTTCCAGTTTTTCCCAAGACATTAACATTACGATACAAAGCATCTCTATCAAGAACTGAAGTTGAAGATTTGGCCCATGACCATCATAAGTATATCAAATTTCAAGCATAGAAATAAAACTTATTAGACTTATCTATATTCTCTCTCTTTAGAACTTGTCCATAAAATTGTGCATATTTACATGTCTCAGACAGTGAAAAGTGCCAAAATTATCTTCTAACACTTTGTAGGAATTTATTTTAATCCCAAAATCCATAAAAATGTCAAATCAGTCGCCAGACTGTTTTAATATGAGTTGAGACAGTCCTGAACTCTTTTAAAGAGAGGATTATTTCAACCCCATTAGAAGAGTTTGTGGACTAATTTGATACTTTATAACCTCTAGGACTAAAATGACCATCTGCAAATAATCAATGAATCATTATGGCATTTTTCTCTTTTCAAATATATTGATTTTGTTATATCTACATAAGAAATAAGCCTTAAGTTTCATCATTCAAAACTTGCATCGCAAAGCCAAGGGATCGAACGCTTCTCATTGAGCTAGTATTTTAAAACATTGTCCAGCGTAAACATGGAAATGAATAGAAATAATATACCAAAAACAATGAGCATAGTATAGGTAAATAGGGAAGAACAAAGAGTAGAAAGAAATAAATAGATACTTCAAGATTGTAGGTACTCCATTGTAAAGCTAATATCTAATCTTGCACTGCAGTGCATCAAATCAAATATATAAAACAAAAGTAGAAATAATATAGTAAGCTATTAGTATATCCCTTATTGTACCTTTAAACGTTTGGGGAGCTGAATTTTGTTCAAGCAGTTGCATTGTCTCCACAACAGCAGCATCATATCTAGCTTGCTTCTCTAGTGAATGTATCTCTCTCCGCAGTTCTTCATTTTTCTTTCCAGCCTGTGGTAATGGCATGTGTTTCATATAAATTGTTTGGAAAATGAAAATCAAAAGCAACATGAAGATCTATGCTCAGCGCAGTGCTTACTTCAGCAAGCTTAATCCTTAAGTCATCCAACTGCATATTGAGTTGCTCATCAGAAAGATCAGATTGCCTCAAATCGTTCCCAGATGAGTCTTGCTGAAGAAATAATTTTTAGTAAGGCATCGTGCTTTTACAGTTCATCGAAATGCAATAAGCAAACATTTAGCAATATAACCAAAAAAATATAATATTTCAGTGGATTCCACAAAATTACAGGCTTTGTAAACGAAATTGTCTATTGGTAGTTGAGACCAAAAAGAAGAATATAAACTCAAATTCCTGAGAAATTAATGATTTTCATTGATAAAACAAAAAATATCATTCTTTTCCAAGATAAGAAAACTTCAAATGCTTAATATAATTTTAGTTTTCTAATAACCGGTAATGAACTATTAAGTTATACAATAAAGGCTGAAGATACAAGCCAGGCCATATGAGAAGATAACAATGTGAATTGATAAAAAAGGGAGATTTGTATCAAGGACCGCATGCTCAAGAAAACTTTATGTACATTCACTTGCCACCAAAAGATTCATTATACCGCAGAACCAGACGTTGGGCTTGAAGATTGTGGAGAACTCTAGAATTGGTATATAGTTATCATGTGTATAAAGTCATCTGGAGTGTTGTGGATAACGTTGTGTAGAAATTTATTAGAGATGGCAAGGATGGGTGAAAAGTTGTCAGCCGTAAGCAATTAGGGGAAGATGGATCTGATCTGAGTGATGGAGATGTCAAGGGAGATTGCTAGCACCTGAAGTTCTTGCTGTGGAAGAGTGTCCAATCTAGGCAAGGCTAGTTGTTCCAGTCATGACTAGCAAGGAGGAGTGAAAGGAGATGAAAATAGGTTTATTGTGAGTCCTTAATTTAATGGAGAAGATGCGTTGAGAGAGAATTTCTGACAAAGGCTTGCTGGTAGAAGTTCCATGTAAAGCCTGAATGTGAGCTGGAGGAAAATGTTGAGTAGGCGATAGGTTGGTGACGCTCAAAGTTGGAGTTAGCTATCATCAGCCAACTCAAGGGGATTTGTGGTAACGTAATGATATTTAAGGTATTAGAATAAATCCTATAGATCCAGATTTGCTAAATCCTAAGAGGTTTAAATCCCATAAAATATTTGGCATGAATTATGTAAATCTAGTTAAATCATCGCACTGTTTGACAACTTCTATCAGGATTTAAGAGATTGTTATGTTTGTTAGAATTGAAAATTATAATTAAACTTAAAATTATTTTATTACTAAGATAAAAATTAAACTAAATTCAATTTACATATTATTTATAATTAATAATTAATTATTCACTAGTGATTAATTATTAATAAAAAATTTATTAAACCAATTATTTATTAAATAATGATTTAATTTTAATCAATCATTAATTAATTAGTTATTAATTATTTTAATTAATAATTACTTAGATGTTTATTGAATAATTCAAAATTTAAAACATATTGTTATTCATTAATTAACTGTTAAATAATTACATGTAAATTTATCTAAATATAATTAATTTGATAATATATTAATTAATTATTAATAATTAATCAAATAATTAAAGAAAATGGAAAGAAAAACAAAATTAACTTAAATAAAAATAAAATAAAGGGCCTTCACCTACCACCCGATTCCTATGTATTAAGATATCAATAACCCAAACTTCAATTTTTACCCATAGACCATCCAATTCCTATGTTTTCAGCAAAGGTTTGGTGATCTAGGTAAAAATTGAAGTATAGGTGGTTGATAAGTTAATACAAAAGAATTGGGTGTTGGATATGTAAATCTCCCTAAATTAAAACCACAAACGTATCATTGTCCCTCTCTCTCTGCCAAACCCTCTCCTACATCACTTCCTATCTCTAGGTATCGCCCAACCCTCCCCTCTCTACCCAAAACACTCACTTATGTCCCTCCCCCTCTGGGTTTCGCCCAAAACCATGACCTTCGTGACTGAACCCTCCCAATATAATCACCATCAAAGCTAACTCGAAAGATAATGATGGGATCATGCCGTACAAAGACCGAAACTCTCATCTTTCTTCTCCTTCCACTCCACACTTACCTGAAACCATGGAGGAAGGTAACTTCACATCTTCCTTATTGTGCAAAGCGCCCATCCCATATTTACTAAATTTGCTGAACCATGGGATTTATGGCCAAAATCCGTGAAATCTGATTTATCAAATGTGGCATTCTTTTGTCCAAATTGACGGCATGGCAAGATTTAGGGATCTAAATCCCTTATCAGACATGCCCTGAATGCTACACAGCAACTAGATTAGAAAAGGAACTACATTATTATGCCACGATAAAGCCCTCTATTAGCATGTGTTGTAACACCAGAAGCAAAATGAATCAATTTCAGTGTGAGGATGGGTTACTCTACACAAAGTTCGTCGAATGTATGATACCATAAGAATTTATGAAATGGTCAGATTGATATGGTATAACCTTCCAACCGTCTGTTCCGGCCTTGAAAATTCTAAGCTCTCGAGCAGGGTCATGACATATACCAAATTTTTTAACATCCTAGTTTAGTTTCACATTAATTCCTCTTTTTCAATGATTTGAAGATGCCCCATCCCAAATGATGGATTTCCTAATGATGATGAGGAAGCGCATTCAAGAATGAACCAGATTTCATCTCAAAGGAGTTTAGTTCCCAGTGATAGATAGTTCATTCAGTATTGATACCATGTTGTAGCTTCGGTATGGTGAATTCCACACAGTGGAGAAGACGTACATACCTTATTTGTGATCATACCTTGATCTATTCTTCATCGTGAAGCCACCTGGTTCCCAAAGCACGAGAGATGATGATCAAATTTTAGCAAATTCTGATATATGACAGAGTCGCAACAAAAGGAAAGGTTTGAATGCCACTAGTAAAGCAATGGTGACATACGGGTTACTTTACACGAAGTTCATCATATGCATGACAATATAATAATTTATGAAATTGTTAGATTAATACTTTATTACCTTCCAACTGTTTGTTTCGGCCTTGAAAATTCTAAGCTCTCGAGTTGGGTCATAGCATATGCCAAAATTTTAAATGTGGCACCACTCTCATACAGCCTACAACATAATGAGTCGACCATCTATAGTTTGTTTAAGAAAGTATTTTTGTTGTTAAAATCCACCTAACCCAAACAGATCAAAAATCCTAAATATTTAACCTAACAATCGAGCCAAATTAGGTTTTGGAAATGTGTTAACTCCATGAACCTGATTAGACCCAACCCATGTTGATACAATTGTATAACAATCATTTCATTACAATTGTATAAAAATTTTAATGAAATGAGCATTTCATAACCCAAACAGAGAATTTCCATGATGTTAAAAAAAAAGTTGCTCAATTTCAAAGAATTTGAAATGAAATAAATTATATTGGACCAAACGATATATTATTCATAAGAGAAATAAATGTTTTAACCAGAAAATAAATTATTATAAAGCATTGGTGCTGTAAGTACAAACATCCTGAAAATAAAGCAAATCAAGTATTACAATCACTACAAATTTATTAGATAAAGCATACATTTTTTGGCAAGACAAAACCCTCAGGAACCGAAAAGCAATGATCGAGGCAGTATCTCTCCCATAGGCCCGTCTGCTTATCCAAGGCTCTTTCCACCAGACAACGAAGAGAGGAAATCCCCTAAAAATGGGGAAAATTAGAGATCATTGAACTTCAGTAAAATGTACTGGTTAAAATATCTCATTGTTATAATAACAACCATAAAACAAGATTATTATTAGTATTGGTCAGATGATTATCCCCGCTAATGTGAATAAAGGAACATTAAGGCCAGTTAACTTTTGCTTTGTGCAAGCATAAGCCCACAAATATTAGGTTTTTAACTACATAAGGTAATGTTTCGCATATAAAATAAAGCCACATTAAATGCTTAACTACATGAGTCTGTCCTTCATATTTAGAATAAAACCACTTAGACTAACAACGCAAAAAGAAAGAAAATTTTATCAAATGTATTTAAAATTCATTAAATGGGATAACCTTACAGTAATGAAAACTTGGGCTGGTAAAAACTTATACATGAAATCTATTAGCACATAACATTATGAGGACAAAAAACCTAGTAATATAAAACCAAAATACTTAGTTTTTATACAAATGGAACATCAAAAACCTTCCTCGAACAAAAAAATATCATAATAAAAAAACTTTATGGAAAACTAAAAGAACAAAATCAAACGACTTTTCAGTGGTCTCTCAAACACCAGAAATGGAGAATTTATATGTTCAAATTATGTATTCTTTTGGCATATGTTCTTTTAAATAGCTTCCTTTGAAACTTCAACAAAAATGTAACATATTACTACATCTTTCCCTTCTAGCCCTTCGACAATAATAATAGTTCTCCCACATGTAAAAGGTTTTCCCACTAACCATTGTACATGTCCAAACAATCTCAATTTATCCTAGCAAATTATCTTCGAATCAATATGAAACAGCTCTCTCTAATAAAAGCATATGAAACAGCTCTTTCTCATAACGCATTCATCTTACTCAATCCCACCACATTAAACTTGTCTGTTTGCACCCTTCTGTTGTGCTGCCTCTCAAATTCCTTGAGCCACCATGATATATAAAACTAATATAATCCTTCCAAAATATTAAGTTATTAGTATGAAAATTCCCGGCTCATTAATTTCTTCTCCTACCTTTCACCTTAAGAGCTTAAAAGACATGCATTGCCCTAATATTCTCAGATATACTTTAGGACCATTAACACTTCCATAGATCAAATAGTTATACAACACCTGTAAGAAAATTCAAAAAAGAAAAAACGCGGCTCTCTCTGTCTCAAAGGAACTAGCTCTACGTTGAACGAAAGAGCCCCACAAACATACACAGCTGAATAAAGTGCAAATAATCAACTCCTGCACCCCAAAGAAAACAAAAGTTGCGTTAGCAGATGGCTACGGGAAAGAAGAGATCATGCATACCTTGGCCAAATCGTCCGATCTCATAGAGCTTCCATTACCCCCGGAACCAAAGAGCTTCGTCGCTTCCCTATGTAGGAAAGGCTTGAGATCGTTCGCAGTAGATAGGGCACGAAAACGATTTGGAGAGGATAAAAGCGAGGAGAAAATTACTGATGGTAAAAATCGAAGGCAGATTCGACCATATCGTCGATCATGTTGAGAATGTCGTTGATTAAGAGCTGGGGATTCAGGCCCAGTGCTTCGAACGCCTCTTCGCCCTTGCTTCCTTCCATTATTCTGGGGAAAAAGTCGATAGAGGAAGTGTTCCTATTTGAATTAACAAGCCGAGCCAAAAGTTTTTGAAAGCTTGTTTAGGTCCAATTATTTAAAATTTTTAATTTAGCATATTGGCCTACAAAATTTAGACTTCTACATTTTAACCACTCGGTTCATCCAAAACATTACATATAACGAATTGATCATTTTTTTCTAATACATCTACAATAAATTTTCATCATCTGTATGAATTTCGAGATAATTTTTTGAGCAAAAAATATTCAAATTTCGATAAAAATTCATTCAAAACTTAAATTTTAGCAAACATACAGTCAAACAGACTGACTTAACAAGAAGAAGTCAATGTTAACAAAAGTAGTCCAATCCGGGTTAAATCAAGCTCATATCAAGTCGTTAAACTACTCTTAAAAATTTTCTGGAAATATTTAAAAAGTTAAACAAATGTCGAATCTAGCAAGTCAATAATCGAATCGAGCTCTCGACAAGACAAGTCCAATGAGCCCAAGATTGCTCAATTTCAACATCGATAAGGCACTCAAAACACTATGATCGAAGGAAGCTCTCTGGATGGTCCAATCAAAGTGATCATGTTCATGTATTAATTACACCTAAAACACAATGAATAGAGTCTCACCCCTCTCATGAGGAAGGGTTGAAGGCTTGAGAGATAACTTAAAACTTTAATAATTAGCTAAAGTGTGCACCACCCCTATATTATCTAATTTAGGGGTTAGAAATATAAATACCTAAGCATTGGGTGGTATGTATGTAAATGCCCATAAAAAATTTCATAAAGAAAAATCTTGAAATTGTTTTAGTCCCACATCAAAGTCATAAGTTAAAATTTTCATTTTTGTTTAAATATTGACGTGAAAGTCGCTTGTTTGAGAGCTCAAGTTTTGCGTGATGTCACACCCAAATTCGAGCAATATCAAGTGATATAGAACCGAACACAAACGGACTCTTTAAGATCCTAATTTGAATTTGAGTTGATTTCGAACAGGTATTAATGCAAATGATTTGAACACGAACAGAACTTCAACTCGCTCTTATTCGACTAATTTTCACCCTTATACATAGCACACAATCCTATGTATTTACATATCTCACATCTAATTTTTTTTATATTCACACATGTATCACTCAAATTTTAATCACATCAACAATAGCTTCATTAGCATCTTTTAAAGTGAAGTAGATAATTTCCTATATAGGTTTAAAATATCAAAAAGTTTTCTATATATGTGAAAGCTTAGGTGTGAGATTTGTAAATATATAAGAATTGTTTAGTAGGCATGTAAATTTCCCTAAAATTTATTTGGCAAAAAATAGAAGGAATATTTACATATATAACACGTGAGGCCCGGGCAAAGATCGTTCCTACCCAAGAGGTCGCGACAACTAAAGGAAGGTTCTTAAGGAGACATAGTCAGCTCCATAGGTCAAGAATTTCTTTTCTCTATTTCTACAACCACATGATTCAACAAATCTCCACTAATGAACTGACCATCACATAGAAAAGAGACTCTATGCTTATACTAATACTTATATGTTGAACATAGCTTTATTAGGCACGAGCCGACAAGAGAGTGGGGAGCCATCCGATCGACCAAAAAGAGAGCAAGGATGAAAAAGAGTCCTTTAAGGAAGGGGTGATAGCCGGTTTCACCTCACTGAAATTCTACATTTACTGGACTATGTGCATGCAGTGAAGCTAATCAACCTGCTTCGACTGCTCATACTAAGTTAGAGACTGACCTAGAGGTTTGTTTGAGGATGAAGTGCAACATCAGGAAGGGAAGGAGCTAGCTTTTGAATCGACTCTTCCACCACCCTCATTCTATCAGAAAAAGAGAAACGGTTCCCCAGTTGACTGGATTCCCTCTGAGAGCAAGGGTTAAAGATCTGGAGTTCCTCTGACAATTGGTATACTGTCATCAACTAGAAGGTGGACTAGTATAGTGGATCATCGTCTGTCAAACTCTACCTTCCCATTTGTTGAAGTAATTTGAACTCGAGCTTTTGTGAAGTCCCTCCAGACGCTTGAACATACACAATTATATAAGAAGACTGGTCACTACCATCTGAAGGTATGGGAGGCTTCCCATTAGAGTCGATGGCATTGGAACAAGAAGAGATGAAGTGGGTTGCTGCTTCGGAACATTAGAGTTAGATTATGATCCTGAAGTGAGTACCCAACCATAGACTTAAGAAAACCTAACTCACAACGTAGGGAGAAGTGATAAAAACTATTTCTTGCGACTGGTGGGGTAAATACTAATCTGCAAGAAAAAGAACTAATTCAGAGAGTTATAGATCTAGAAAACACCCTTAGGAATTATAATTTGATTCAAACCCCTACATACTTTTGGAAGACTGATATCAAATTGAGAGTGAGAAGTTGCAAGAAGCTTTGAAATATGAAGAGTTGGTAAAAACATAAGTATAAAAAAATATTATGTAATTGATCAGAGATTACTGAAATAGAAATTTGAAATAAAGGAAGACTTTAGCTCTGATTTGACTGAAATTCATGCTATGGACATTAAACCAAGTGATTTTTTGGGAGGCAACCAAAGTGTTACCTTATGTTTTGAGTATGTTTTAATTTTGCATTTATCTTGAAATTTACTTCGAATTTATTTTGATTATTTTTTGCTACTTATGCAAGGGTCTTGTTAGTTATAGTAGAATCTATAATTAAGTTGATTAAAATTATTACATTTGGACATTTCATGTTGATATTTTTCTTGTAAACTAGATATTATTTTGCTAGAATGTTACGTGTACACTCGTCAATCTCCATGTGTTATTGTTTTGATAAGCTGACTTTTTTGGTGTGAGATTCCATATTATTAATGCTCTTTTCTTTTCATGCACTTTTTATGTGACAAAATTAGGATAGAAAATAAGTTTGGGAGAGGGGGGCATATTTGTGTACTTGCCATAAAAGTAATTCCCATAGTTTAGTTGTTGATTGTACTTTAAAGTTGTCAATTATGCTAGGAATCTTAAAAATTTAATAAGATTTTATAATGACTTCATCAAAATAGTGAACACTCATTAAAGGGGAAATTAGAATCAATGTCCTGATAACTGAGTATTTTACTTTAATAACTTTTACCTGAACTCTAAAAAATCTTAGAATAATTTAAATTGTGTAATAAAATATAAATAGCTAACTAGAGATATTTTAAGACTTTTAATTTTCAACTCAACCAATTTAATTAATTTAAACTTTTAAATAAATTATAATATTTTAGATTTCATATTAAGAAGCAATTGAGAATTAACAATTACGAGAAATTAGATATTCTAAATCTTTAACAAAAATGTGTTCAAATAGATATATTAATTTTTAATGGAACTAAAAAAACAAAATATAAGAAAAGAAAATATAATATAATAGAATATAAAATCCTTGATCCAAAAGAAAAATCAAAATAAGTTGTCAATCTCTCTAAGAAGAAGCTTGAGGTGATCATAAAAATTAAAAAATAGTGTCTAAGTCTTTTTCTATTTAATAAGACTTAAAAATCTCGCATGAAAATTCTTATGATATTATATTTTCGAAAAAGTTAAGCAATTTTGGGTTAGTTGATTGACTATTAGTTAATTTAAAAATAGCTTTGAAAAATGAAAATATTTCAATCACACCGGATTAAGAGTTTTAAGATCTACTTAGGCTCAGAAAGAAGAGTGTTAAAGAAATGGCTAGGCTATTAGAAATTAATAAAAATTTAACCCTAAAGTGATATTTGCATATGTTTTATTTCACTTATATAATATAGTTAGAAAATCTTGAAGTCTCGCATGAGAGCTTTGAACATCATTTAAATCCCAGCTAGATATGAGATTATTTGAGGACATATCATATAAATGTTTAGGGGAATCAATACGATATAAAAACACTTGATTTATCGGTTTTAAATATCAAATTTTATTCCATATGTCATCATAATTTTATGCTTGTAGAAAGTTTCTTTTCGGTAATTTCAATTTATATATATAGGGTTCAAGCGTACTTCACTGAACGAAAAGCAGCTGAAGGAAAGTTGACATATCATAACTACACCACTAAGCAACCTAATTGTATAGGGCATGCAATGAGTCTAGTGTAATTACACAAGATTTGATGCAACTACGTCAACCTACTACATAACAATGTCGGGCATTAGTGTAACCACATTATGGTCTGGTCAGGATTAAATTGACAAGATTATTTAATATGACTTACGCAAGAGCTATATAAGGGGATGTTAAGGGATGATTATGACACTTTTGAAAGTTTTGGAAGCTACCTTTCTTCAGGTTTTAGTAAAGTCTTTATCAATTCTAGGTTTTTCTTCAATGATTTTCCTTAGGGAAGATTCTTAGGGTTATTTCTTGTGAGTTTGGAGAGTTTGTGGGAATATATTGAGTGCAATTGTGTGAGGAAGATCTATGAAAGTTTGTATTTAACGGAGATGATCATAATGTATTGCAAGGATTGACTGACTCGGATTTGAATTTTATGTATGTTTTGCTTTATTTCCTTTTTATACCCTAAATAATAATTTTTGTGCTTTCCTTTCCTATGCATTATAGTTAAACTCATTTTTTATACTCATGTGATGCAATATTTGTGACTTTTCCATAATTTTATCATATAAATTTTGATCTGCAGATGCCTTTTCTATGCTTGAATTTCAAATGTCGATGTGTTGACTTTCTGGCCTTAATTTACTTTTCGTATAATGATGTAATTATAATTCTATTGTGATATAAGACTTTTAATTGTCACTTAGAAGAACAAGTAGATTAACACACAATAATCTATTAGAATAGGCATATTGCCAATAAAAAATTGCAACCTAGATAGGAAACTAGAGGATTTCTTATAAATAATGCATAGTTTAGTCTCCTAAACTATAATATGATTTTTAGCTCTCAATAATAACATAACTTTCATGGAAAAATATTAAGAGACCACTAAACTGGTGTCACAGAAGTTTGATCCTTTCATTTCTTAAAAACTTTAAGAAAATTCAGTTTAATTTTTT